GAATTATTCGAATAAAGCCTTTTTTATTTATTCGACTATTCGATTATTGGGCTTCTGTGAATATTCGACTATTCGAATATTCGAGTAGTCAAATATTTCGAATGAATTATTCGAACATGAATATTCGGTTCCTATAGTAGAAAGCACACATTTGTTTGCAGGTAAACCACTGCAGTGAGGACTTGGCTTGTGCTACAAGGAAATCTGGAGTGACTTCGAGCGGGCCGCTCTCAGGATTCTCAACTCAGTAAGCTAGTTGTAATAAAAAGTACTGCGCTGTCAGAGGATATGATTGTTTTTGCTAAGAAGTGTCATATGTAGCAGTCAACAAAAGTTTCCTTTTCAAACAAACTCATCTGTTTATTAAATGTCTTTTCAAAGAAAAGATTAGGATTATCTGATTGTTGAGATCAAAGTGTGCAAAAGTTTAAGTTTTAATCCACTGGATTCACGCATCTTAGGTACTGATACGAGATTCCACCTGGACAGTCACATAAGTAGACTGGACTGCCATTGGAGGCGTAGTACGAGAATTGCGTATCTGCAAAAGCTCATAATGAGAATAGAGGAAGAGATAAACTTAACTTACTGCAAGCCTGTGTCTGTGTATCTTGTAGAGTCTGTAACTCTATATCCGATGGATACTGCGCTTGTGCTCCAAATTGTCCTTGCATTGGTGCACCATATTGTGCCTGCGGCAGTGCACCAAACTGTCCTTGGGGCATTCCATACGATAAGATGGTTCCTCCAAGATTTGTTGCTTCTGTGCCTAACCTCAATCCGCTACCTAGAAAACTTTACAAATGTTTGATTTGAAGTGAGCGATATTGACGTCACTCACCAATCATATCCATTATTCCGGTGGCACGATAGAGACCGTTGAGGCCACCACTGTGATCCCTCCCACCTCCAAATCCGAAGAGAGCCCGTTTATAGCGCCTGTGAAGAAAAATATGAATGAAAGAACACTACGCGCAAGCTGAACAACAATAAAGAGTGGTCTCTTGCGTTCTGCCGTCGAAATCGCACATCGAATAAATGTTTACAACCGCGCACAACATTACAAGAGCGAAACATGATCCATTCCATTTTCGGAATTTGATTGTCTTTTTTAATCAAGAACTGGAAGTGAAACACTGATCTTGGGTGCCATTGCGTTACAGAA